TCTGAATGAACTGACCTATTCATAGCATGCCTTTTGAAATAGTTTTGTTTTGTAATGGAAAAAGAAAAGGGAAAAGGAAAAAACTCCATTCTCATTCAGGATACAGGACTTGCTTAGACCTCACAAAACATGGAGAAAATGGGGAAACTGATCTTGAAAATGTTTTAATGACTGACTATATAAGTATTGATGAGTTATTAAGAACAATTTTGAACGATTATGAAAATTTTCAAAAAAATACTGTACAATAGGCATTTTTAAAAATTTTATCTTGTTATTGTTTTTGAGAACATGCCCATCTGTGCTTAGGGTTTATTCCTCGCTCTGTGCTCATGGCTTACACCTGGTTCTGAATTTAGGGATCACTCTGGTGAGGCCCAGGGTACTGTATGTGCCAGGAATCAACCCCAGATGAGTTGTGTGCAAGGCAAGCATCTTAGTGTTCAATTATCTCTTCTGTTCCTATGGACATATTCTTAAATGTGACAGCTGGGGTTGAGAGATATCTCCACATGTTGCGTGTGTACTTTGCATGTAGAAACATTGGGTTCAGTCCTGGCCACCACATAACCTCCTGAGCCCCACTTTCAGAGGAGTGACCCCCCCAGCACCCACTTGTAATTACTTCTTGATCATCACCATCCATGCCCCACCCCCAACAAGAATAATGTATTTATTCTATAATTTTCTTCTTTGCAGCACCACGATTAAACCAGGGCCTCTATACATGCTAAGCAAGTCCTCCACTGTTGAGTTACATCTTTTCTCGTCATATCCTTTAAAAACCTTTTCTCAGACTGGGTGTATAGCTCAATGATAAATTGTGTACTTTGTATATAGGAGTTGGGTTTGATCCCAGTACAACACTGGTCTTGCAATCCTGCCTCTATTGTCCTCCTAATATTCAAAAATATTTTTTAAGACCAGTGAACTTGCTTCTCATGGGAGACCCTGGGTTAATCACTGGCACTGTATGGTCCATCAATCACAGCTGGGAGCAAGCCATAAGCATGGAGCTGGAGTAGCCTCTGAGTACTGTCTGGTGTGACTACAAAAATTTTCCACATTCAAATAATAAAGTTAAGGGTCCAGAGTATAGTTCAGTGGGTAGGGTATTTACCTTGCACACAGCCAATCTGAGCTTGATCCCTCCTACCCTATTTAATCCCAAGTTCACCAGAAGTGAATCCTGAGAGCAGAGCCAAAAGTAAGCCCTGAGCACAGCCGGATGTGACTCAAAAACAATACAATAAATAAAAATAAAATTATAAGTTGAAGGTGAGAACTTACTAAGGGTAAGAGAACAACTGATTATGGGAGAAATACTGAAGTGATCATGGGGGGGGGGGGGCAGCAACTGACCCGCTGCTGGAGTGTGTAGTGTTAGAAAGTTCTATGTATGAATCCTACCATTATCTCTATTGTACATCACAGTATCTCAAATAAAATTAAAAAATAAAATAGTAAACCTGGGGCTGGATATATTGTACAGCAGGTAGGGTGCTGCCTTGCATGCAGCTAACCTGGATTTGATCCCCTGCATCCCATATGATCCCCCGAGCACTGCCAGGAGTGATCCCTGAATGCAGAGCCAGGAGTAGCCTGAATATTGTTGGCTGTGGCCCCAGAACAAAATAAATAAAATAATAAAACATCTTTTCTTAGAAAATGCAGCTTTTGGTAAAATATTGTGATCTCTACAATTTGCTTATGATTTGGTGAAAATGTAGCGTCAAAAGAAATAAAAAGAATCCAGAATTATGTCTAGAAAGGGGCGATTGTATAGTGGATTGGGCGCTTCCCTACCACTCTTTCAATGGGGATTCGATGCCCAGCATCCCATATGGTCCTCTGAGAAATTTAGGAGTGATTCCTGAGCACAGCCAGGTGTGGAACCCAAACAAAACAAACAAAAAGCATATGTGGCTGGTGAGACAGTAGAGCAGGTAAACCCAGGTTTGATCCCCAGTACCCCATATGGTCCCACAAGCCTACCAGGAATGATCCCTGAGCACAGATCTAGGAGTGTACCTTGAGCACCACCGGGTGTGGCCCCAAACAAAACAAAACAAATATAAAAACAGAAAGAATATATCTAAAAAGTAAATTCATCATTAATACTTATATCCTGAAAGAAATTTTTCAGAAACGAACTGGAGAGATAGTGTAATGGGTAGAGCATTTGCCATGCACACAGCTGACCTATGTACAATTCTTGGAACCACGTAGGGTCCCCCGAGCCAAAGCAGGACTGATCTCTGAGCTCAGAGCCAGAAGTAAGCCTTAATCACTGTTGGGTAAGACCCCAAGCAAATAAAAACAAGAGAAAAAAAGTCTTCATAAATAAAAGTCAGAAATAGCTTTTGATATTAATTGGCCTGACAGTGGTTTATTCCAAATAAATAAATTAGTATGAGTCATAGATGAAATGAATGACAGTGATGTTTAATGGAGTCAGAGGGTATTGGGACTATTGTATTCCACAGTATTTGCAGGACTCTGGCACTAGTGTTGCTTGAGTTCCTTTATTATTTGTAACTATTAAACTGCAAGAGCAAGCACAATAAAAGTACTAAAAGTATAAAATTTGTAATAATATGCAATGTTTAATTAAATACATCAGATCTAGAGTTACATGTTGAGTGAAATCAAGCAGAGGAACGAAAATAGACTCAGAATACTCTCTCATATGTGAGACAGAAAACCTCATAGGGGAATATCAGATGCCCAGTGGCAATAGAAATGAAGACCAAGAGAATTGGTCTTCAGTAGGAAGCTTGGCAGTAGGGCCAGAATGGAGGGACAGGTTTGGGAAGGGAACTGAACACTAAGACAACGGGGGAGGGGAAAAGTGTCTGCCACAGAGGCAGGCTAGCGGTGGAAGGGAAACTGGGAACATTGATGGAGAGTGGGTACTGGTGAAGGGATTGGTGTTGGAACAATATACGCCTGAAACACAATCATAAATATCTTTGCAATTTTGTAACTCGTGATGATTCAATTAATAAAGGAAAAAAATCAAAAGAAGGGAATTAAAAATATTAAAACAGGCGCAATGAAAGCAGTAAATATTATCAGTAATCACTTTAAACTTCAAAGGTATCAATCAAGAAAAAAGAAGACAAAGCCCAGACTGGGAAAAAATATTTGCAAAGGCAATAGAAGACTGTTGTTATCCAAAATACAAAAATATATTTCTGATAGTAATAAACTAATGGCAAATTAATAAAACTTGATTTGAAAAAGAACACAAAGAGCTCTTAAACTTGGCTCAGAATGGGGCTGGAGAGATAGTACAGCAGGTGGAGCCTGGACTTGCACAAGATCGACCAGGATTTGATCCCACTTATCTCATAAATTCCCCCAAGCACTGCAGGCATTAACTCCTGAGTGCAGAGCCAGGAGTAACCCCTGAGCATCACCAGTTGTGGTCTAAAAACAAAAACAAAAAAACTTGTTCAGAAGGGATAGACAGCTCAATCCCATTATCAAATTGTACCCTGGGGCACTGCTAAATTGACACCCAAACACTAAGCTAGAACAAGCACCTGGGTGTGGTTCAAAAACAAACAGTAACTAAGAAAACAAATGGCCATACTCAGTCAACCTGAGAGCTGATCTACAGAACTGAATTTAGCAGGGTGGGTGACTGGAGTGGGCTGGTAGGGAAACAATTTGGTGAAATGTAGTTCTGGAAGATTATATGCATGAAATTCTAATAGTAACAGTATTGTAAGGGCCGGAGCAATAGTATATTGGGTATGGTGCTTGCCTTGTATGCAGCCAAACTGGGTTCCATTCTTGACATCTGATATTGTCCCCCAAGCCTCACAAAGTGTGATTCCTGACAACAGTGCCAGGAGTAAGTCCTGAGCACCACTTGGTATCACCCAAAAACCAAAACCAACCAAACAAAATAGCATTGTAAATCACAGTGTCTAAAGGTTTTCTTTAAAAAAATTAAGCAAAGAATACAGTTTGGAAATTTATTACAAAATAAAATGTACTCTGTAAGATCCAAAAATTATTCTCTTTGAAATATATCCGAATAAATTCATAATGTATAATCATGTAAAACCCACACAAAAATGTTTTAAGTATGTTTATTCATATTAACTAAGTCTTGTAAACAACCATGATCATCTTTCGTAAGCAGAAGTGTGTACATTTAGGCAATGGAATACTATTCAGTGCTAAGAAATTATCCAGCCGTAATACTGAGGGGAAGTGAAATGAGTACTGTGAGAGAAAAAAAAAAAACGCTCTGTAAAGGTTACATGCTAGATAATTCCAACTACATGACAACTGGAAAACCAGAGCTATGGAATCAGTAAGATTAGTGCTTATCAGAAGTTAAGGTGGAGGTTTGAAAAAAATGGAGGGTAGGAAATGTGAGTGGATAAAATCCTTTATATGATACTGTAGTGCTTGATACAAGTCATGAGACATTGTCAAAACCCATGCAATGTACGACAGAAAGTGACTCCAAATATGAAACAATGGAATTTGGGTGATAATGAGTCCAGGTAGGTTCAACAAATGTACTACTACAGTACAAGAAGCTGACAGTGGGGGAGTGGATGAGAATTCTACTTTGTTTAGTTTTTCTGAAAACCTAAACCTGTTTCAAAAATAAACTCTGTTTTGTTTGGGGGCCACACCCAGTGGTGCTCAGTTTACTCCTGGCTCTGCACTTAGGGATCACTCCTGGTAGGACTTGGGGGACCATACAGTATGTCAGATTTTGAAACAGGGTTAGCTGCATGCAAGGCAAGCACCTAACCTACTGTACTATCTTTCTGCCCCCCCCCAATAAACTTTATTAGCTAAAACAAAATTATACTCTATCACATCTCTAAATATTTGAAGCAGCAGTAGAACTCACTTTTGACAGTCTCAGTTATAGACACCTGACATTCATATCTGTAACAAGGACAACTTAGAATACAGTATTATAATCTTTAAAATGCACATCAAATTCGATGTGGTTTATCCACCAGTTATTCATTGCCCAAAAGGAATGACGTTGCTGCCTTCAAAGAACATTTCTTCTTTCCGGGTGCCATTAATTTTCTCATCAGCTTCTTATTCCTATAGAGTTAGGAAAGAATTTTGAAAAATGACTTGAGTCAGACCTTTTTTAGCCAACAAAGGGATAAGATTGCCCTTATGCTCTGTATGTCTTTATACTGTCCCTTAACTGTCAACACCCGCTTAATCATCTTCATCTATTTATGGCTAGGTCTATCATGTTCTTTCACTTCCATGTGCTTTTTCGTGGTATGTCCCACAAAAATGTCTAAATTACTTTGCAGCAGGTTAGTTCTTTCTTCACTTTTGTTTATTTATTTTGGGGAGCCACGTCCAGCGGTGTTCAGGGCTAACTCCTGGCTCTGCCTTCAGGGGTCACTCCTGGAAAGGCTCAGGAGACCATAAGGGATGCCAGGTTTGCCAGGCTGCATGCCAGGCAAGCACCCTAGCTGCTATACTATGGCTTCTGGACCAGGTTAGTTCATTCTTAGTACTGAAGTTTCCCTAAACTGTTTAGTTGTTCCCATGTTTCCCTCCCTCCCTCCCTCCCTCCCATCCTGTTTGCAGGCATGGAAACAACCAAACTGCTCTTTGACAGCTTAATAAATGGAAGTAGGTTTGGTATATGTAAATGATGTAACACTACTCTGGCAGACTTTTTTTTTTTCTTTTTGGATCACATCCAGCAATGCAGGGGTTACTCCTGGCTCTGCATTCAGGAATTACTCCTGGCAGTGCTTGGGGGATGCTGGGGATTGAAACTGGGTCAGCTGCGTGCAAGGCAAATGCCCTACCCACTGTACTATGGCTCTGGTCAGGCAGATATTTTTTAGAAGATGAAATCTTGTGGCTCAGTGGAAAAGTGCACGTTGCATGCATGAGATATGACATCAGATATATGAACAAATATGAATTCTTATCATTTAACCTAAGGCAGATGAATCCACAGAGTGCCGTGCTTAGTGAAATATATCAGATATGGACACTGTAAATTATAGTACAACTTCTCCTCTGTTTCAGAAATAAAACAAGTGCTTTGATTAGAGCAAAGTAGTTGCCAGAGATGAAAGGGAAAGTGAAGTGCACAGTTCTCTAAAAGAGTCAAATGTACAGTGATAGAAGGAAACTAGATTTTGTGATCGTGATGATTTGTGATCATGATAAATTAGCTGCCTTATATCTGAAAACTACATATTTTTGTTGGTTTGTTTTTGTTTGTTTGTTTGGGGGCCATACTTGGAAATGCTCTGGCTCTGCACTCAGGGATCACTCCTGGTGGGCTGGGGGCCACCATATGGGCTGCTAGGAAAGTGACCCAGATTGGCCACATGCAAGGCAAGCACCCTAACACTGTACTATTGCTCTAGCATCCATATCTGAAAATTATAATTTAAACCAATGCCATTTCAATTTAAAACTTTTGAGGAGGAGCCAGAGAGACAGTACAGCAGATTGGGTGCTTGCCTTACACAAAGCTGACCCTGGTTCTATCACCAGCACTCCATATGGTCCTCCAAGCACACTAGAAAATATCCCTGAGCACTGAGTCAGGAATCAGCTCTGAGCACTGCCAGTGTCCCCCCTCCCCCCCCCCCAAAAAAAACAAAAAGGAATGGAAATGACTGGGAAGATAACTCAAAGGGCTAGTATACATGTTTCACACACTAGAGGATTAGAGTTGATTGCCACCACATGGTCCCCTGAGCACTGCTGGGAGAACCCCTGAGTATGGAGTAGCCCAGAACATCACCTGGTGTGGTCAAAAAACAAAAATTAAAACAAAAGAATTCCAATATGTTTGTCATCTGCTTTCACTTAGCAAATGATTCAGAAACCGATCCTATTGGGTTAAGAAACTCGAGATACCTATTTTTCTGTGAGTGATGTCTAAAACAAATACTTAAAAGATTACCTTGCAGCACATTCTGGGCATAACATGTTATCTTCTAGGTCTGGGGACGAGAAAGTACAGGCTGGTAACAGGAAGAGAGAAATCATCCTTCTGGAAGTGGCAGGTACCCAGGTCTGACCTCCATGGAACTGGAGGCGCACCCAACCCTCTGTCTCTGCTGAGAGAGGTCTGCCATGGACCACACACCACCTGAGTCCTGGGGAGGGAAAAAGAGGCATCAAGAGTAAGCTAGATGAGATCAGCACCAGGAGGATTACTCCATAACTTAGAGGCCAGCCGGGTATCCTAGAGGAAAGGGCTATTCAGATAGAGAAGGGAGCACCAAATAAAGGATGTTTGGAGGATCCTCCCAGGAGGGGAGATGCATGTCGAAAGTAGACTATGGACTGAACATGTTTGCCACTCAATGCCTCTTTTGCAGACCACAACACCCAAAAGGAGAGAGAGAACACAGGGGATTGCCCTGCCACAGAGACGGGGGGATGGGGGGATGGGGGTGGGAGGGATATTATCCATGGTGGTGGAAAATGGGCACTGGTGGAGGGATGGGTATCTGATCATTGTATAATTGAAACCAAAGCACAAAAAATTGTAAATCTACAACTTTAAAAAAAAATAAAATAAAATAAAGGGGAAAAAAAAAAAAAAAAAAAAAAAAAGAGTAAGCTAGAGTGAGCGGTCCAGTTTAGTCTCAGTTAACCCTGAATTCCAGTAGGCGGGGGTCACACCCACCAACTGGCCCCCTGGCACCGTGTAATCCCGTCAACGGCCAAGACTCAGAGACTATAAAACCCAGCTCCCGGAAGAGAACAGTGCAGTCTCCTGTCCCCGTGCCTGGCTGTCCTCGCCGAGGCCCCTTGGAGGGGAGCGGGTTGAGTTTTCCTCCCCTCCCCGACCAGGGCTACGGCAGCCGAAGACCTCCAGGACCAGCCACCACCATGCTGAGACCACTCTCCGCACACCTGAAGGTACTGGCAGAGGAACAAAGGCAAGCGGGTCCCGGGGCTGAGATCTCCAAGCCTACTCGGATCGGGGCTGAGCATCCTTCACCCAGATCCTCCGAATTCCAGTAGGCGAGGGTCACACCCACAAACTGGCCCCCTGGCGCCGTGTAATCCCATCAATAGCCAAGACTCAGAGACTATAAAAACCAGCTCCCGGAACCGCGTGGCCGCAAATGCGGTAGATCAAAAAAAATGTCACAAATGCGGCCTTGCAACATCTTATTATGACATCTTATCATCTCATTCCTACTTTGGACAAACTGGCAGGCTACCGAATGTAGCCTGCCCACACGGCAGAGTCTGGCAAACTCCCCGTGGCGTACCAAATATGCCAAATACCAGTAACAATGATGGGTCTCATTCTCCTAAAGAGACTTGAATATAGCACTTTCTTAAATATCTCAGGGCTAGGATGAAGGAGACGTTACTGGGGCCTGCTCGAGGCAATCGACGAATAACAGGATGGTCGTGATTCGTGATTTGTGAACCCTGCACTCTGGATTTTGTTTTCTCTTACATACTGTTGATGAAGTAACAGAAGCCAACACACAAAAATGTAGATCAAAAAAAATTATACTCCACGAGAGACTGAAAATGTTAGTTCTTGGGGCTGGAGCGATAGCACAGCAGGTAGGGTGTTTGCCTTGCATGCGGCTGACCCAGGTTCGAATCCCAGCATCCCATCTGGTCCCCCGAACACTGCCAGGAGTATTTCCTGAGTGCAGAGCCAGGAATAACTCCCTGAGCATCACTGGGTATGACTCAAAAAGAGAAAAAAAAAAAAAGGAAAAAAGAAAAAAAAAGTTAGTTCTTGGAATGTTTCTGTATAAGATTTTATATAGTGTTTTATGTATATTCTTTGGATTTTTTGTTTGTTTTTATTTTGGGGGCCACATCTGGCAGTGCTCAGAGGAGCATATGGAATGTTAGAAATTGAATCTGAGGACCATATGGGATGTTGAAGGTAGAATTTAGATCAATCATGTGCAAAGTAAGTTCCCTACCTGCTGTAATATCTTTCTGCCACCCTTCTACATATATTCTTTTTTTTTTTTTTTGCTTTTTGGGTCACACCCAGCGATGCTCAGGGGTTACTCCTGGCTCATGCACTCAGGAATTGCTCCTGGCGGTGCTCAGGGGACCATATGGGATGCTGGGAATCGAACCTGTGTCGGCCATGTTGGCTGCGTGCAAGGCAAACGCCCTATCCGCTGTGCTATTGCTCCAGCCCCCTACATATATTCTTAAGAACATGATTGATATTTACTTTTACTTACTTTATTTACAAATGAGATCATTGAATCTTAAGGTGATAACCCTAATTTTCTTAGAACTAAGACATGGATAAAAGGCATTCTAATTCACAGCCCATTCACCCAATTACTACATTGTATTGTCTCAACTGTAGGAAAGTGGTAAAGCATCTTTAAATAGTGTGCAGTGCAATCTAATTATTGAAGTAGAAATTTTCAAAAAAATCAAAATTAAAAGTTTGAGGGGGGCTGAAGCAATAGTGCAGCGGGCAGGGTATCCGCCTTGCATGCAGCCAAACCAGGTTCAATCTCCGGCATCCCATATGGTCCCCTGCGCACCGCCAGGAGTAATTCCTGAGTGCAAAGCCAGGGGTAATCCCTGTGCATTGCCGGGTGTGACCCAAAAAACAAACAAACAAAGTTTGAGGGACCAGAGAGATGGTACAAGATATGTAAAGCTCTTGTGTGTGAGAGCTCATGTGGTTGTGATGCTGATTTAAACCCCCACACCATATAAGCACTACTGGAAATCAGTCCTTAGCACAGAACCAGCCCTGAGTGCCAAGAGTGGAAACCAAAAACCAAGAAAATAGAAATGTAAGAAAGACCAGAGAGAAGAGAGATAGCTCAAAGGGCTGGAGCACAACTTTTGCATGTGGGAGCCCTAGATTCAGTCATTGCTACTGTGGGGTTCTTCAGGACTATGCCGAGAGTAGACTCTGAGCACAACAGGGTATGGTCCTCCAAAATAAAACAATAAAAATAGTGTGCAGAGCAATCTAATTATTGAAGTAGAAATTTTCTCTTTTTTTTTTTTTTTGGGTCACATCAGGCGATGCACAGGGGTTACTCCTGGCTCTGCACTCAGGAGTTACTCCTGGCAGTGCTCAGGGGACCATATAGGATGCTGGGAATCAAACCCTGGTCGGCCTTGTGCAAAGCAGACGCCCTACCCACTGTGCTATCATTCCAGCCCCTGAAGTAGAAATTTTCAAAAAAATCGAAGTAAGTTCTACATATATTACACTGTCTGTAGCACTGTCCTCCTACTGTTCATTGATTTGCTAGGGCGGGCACCAGTAACTTCTCCATTGTGAAACTTGTTACTGTTTTTGGCATATCAAATACACCATGGGGAGCTTGCCAGGCTCTATCTGCAGTGTGGGCGGGATACTCTCAGTAGCTTGCTGGGCTCTCGGAGAAGGATGGAAGAATAGAACCCAGGTTGGCCACGTGCAAGGCAAATGCCCTACAGTTTTAAAATTGAAAAAAGGGAATAATTGAACCACAGATCTGACCCAACTATTACAGTTCTGAAATCTTATCCAAAGAATATACAAATACTAATTCAGAGGCTAGAAAGAGCACAGTGGAGAGGGTGCTTGCCTTGCACACGGCCAGCTTGGTTTGATCCCTGGCATCCTATATGGTTCCCCAATCATCACCAGGAATGACTTCTGAGTGCATAACCCAGAGTAATTCCTGAGCATCTCTGGATGAAGCCAACCAACAAACAAAATACTAAATCAAAAGGATATGTATACCTTATGTCAATGCAGTATGAAGCCTTATATACAACACCCTAATTATCTACAGAGGGATGAATGTTAGAACAAGTATGCACACAGTGGAATACTACTGAACCGTCCATTCCGGATAGCTATGGAGTTTGAGTAAATCTTGCAATTTGGGACAACATGGATGGGCTTTGCAGGTATGAGAGTGTTATGTGAGGTAAAATAAGTCAGATAGGGAAAGTTAATATGATTACACTCATATATGGAATATGAAAAACAACCAAACTTAGCTGGAGAAATAATATAGCAGGTAGGGTGCTATTCATGCACACAGCTGACCCGGGTTTGATCTTCGGCATCCCATAAGGATCCCAACAACTCTAGGGGTAATTAATGCATGTAGAGCCAGGAGTAACACTGTGGGGTATGATCCCACATGCCTCCCCCACAAAAAAACAAAACAAAACCCAACAAACTAAAAAATGAAGCAGACTTTCAGATTTATCAAACTGAGTAGTGGTTACCAGAGAAAAAAGGGATTAGGAGATGGGTGGAATAGGCAAGAAATGAATTATCTAGAGATGGGTGGAAATTAAATTTTTAAAGATGATCACGATATACGCAGTGCATATGCATGGTAAATCACGATACCAAAGAGCATATATTATAAATATTATGAACCAACAGAATATCTACATGTGAATCTACAAGTAAAGGAATTAAGGGGTCTGCCTTGCACATGGCCAACCCCTTAAATCCCTTCACCACTTATGATCCTCCCCACCTCCAAATACCACCAGGAGTGATACCTAAGCACAGAGCCAGGAGTAAGCCTTGAACAGAGCTTGCTGTGGCCCCCAAACAAAACAAAACAAAACAAACACTGGAAGACAGAAAAAATAAAGAGAGAGAGCATAGGACTAGCACAGGGCCCTAGAGCTGATCCCTCGCATACACAGACACAAGCTCAGTCATGCGTATCGATAAGCACCAGCCTGGTCCTGGCAGCCCAACTCTGAGATCCCTGGTGGCACAAGTTATTGCCAGTCCACCATACCCTGGTGTGTGTAGTAACACACACAAAAAAAGATACGCAAGTACCATGGCCAGAAGTGCAACCTCTGCTAAAGGACTCAGTGAACCAAACACTCCTCTCCTGCCATGGAAGCACAACTGGCGTGGCTCAAGCCTCTGTGTGAGCTCCAGGGAGCAGATGCCTCTGCTGCAACTAAAGGAATGCAGGCCTCAGTGAGCACTGGGACCAGTGTGGAAGCACCACAACTTGATGGAGGACCTGGCAAGGATCACAGCTAAAAATGTGCAGGTACCAGTTAGGCAGGTGTGCAACCCTATTCATTATAACAATATCAACCACAAGGGGAAGGGAGTGGGGGATAAAAGGAACTAATTTTTCATAAGAAGGGAGCTGTCACCAGGGCTTATCTGTAATAACCGAGAGATAAAGTTATCACTATATAGCAAGTGTAGAGATTATGTATGCTTTGTGCAATATACTCACAAGATAGCTAGGCACACTTGTGGATTATGGTGGGTGCTTTATAATTACAGAACAGAGTCCTGGGGATTAGCACAGGAACTCAGAGCACCTGCCTTGCAAGCATACAGTCTTAAGTTCAACTCCCCAGCATCCCACATGCATGGGACAAGATCCTGGCAGCAATTCTGCCTGTTATTGCTAGTACCATGAGCAAGGCCTAGCCCCAGTTCAGGCAAGAATGCATAACCATCATAAAAGGGATACAAGATACAACTCCTGGTAAGTAAACTAAAAAAAAAAAAAAAGAGTACATCAAGCCAGAGAGATATAGCACAGCAGGTAAGGCACCTGTCTTGCACCAACTAGCCCAGGTTCAATCTCCAGCACCATATATGGTCCCCTGAGCACCATCAGGAGTGATCCTGAGCACAGCACCAGGAGTAAGCCCTAATACCATCAGGTGTAGCCAAAAATAAAAATAAAACAAAGAAAAGAGGTACATCACCCAAAAAGGGGAATTAAGCCACTTGCCTTATACGTGGCCGAGCCATTCTGATTCCCCACATCACATTTCGTCCTCCAATCACTGCCAAAAGTAAACCCTGAGCACAAAAACAGGAGAAGCATTCAGCACTGCTGGGTATAGCTCAGAAAAACAAATAATCAAAAATCTGATATATGAGGGGCGGGTATTATAAAGGTGATATGTTTGCCTTGCATGTGCGGACACTAGCCAAGGACCTGGTTTAATCCCGAGCACTGCCAGGCATGGACCCTAAGCACAGAGCCAGAAATGACCTCCCCTCTCCCAAAACATAAACAAATAAAATAAAAAAATAAAACCAAAATAAGTCATGTTTTGTTTTAAAGAAGAGAGAGATTGAGAGGGATACAGGTACTATATAGCCAGGGTATGGGACCTCTGCAAGCATAGATGTGAATAATGCAGTAAGTACTATGACCACGTGTGTGCCTCCACCAAGAGCACTAACGCCAAGGTTCGGAGTGAGTCCATCAGATAAGGTGTTTGTCTTGTATGAGGTCGACCTGGGTTCGATCCCCAGCATCCCATATGATCTCCCAAGCACCGCCAGGTGTGATTCCTGAGTACAGAGCCAGGGGTAACCCCTGAGCATCACCAGCTGTGACCCAAGAAAACAAAACAAAACAAAAAAACAAAATAAAGAGTGCTCATGCCAGCCAGCATGTGTGCAAACGTTACCACGAAAGGACTGCAAACCTCAGTGAGCCACTTTCTTCTAAGGAAATCCATTTTTTGATAATTTTTTTTCTTTTTTCTTTTCTTTTCTTTTCTGCGATTGGGACCAGTGTGAGAGCAGGCAGGAATGAGCAGGGCAAAGGACTGTCTCCAGGGTCCCTTCTCACAGCCTGTACAAGGCACAGGCTGCGTACACTACCCACGAGCTGCTTGCTGTAGGCAGCCATTGCATACCGGGCCCGACAGAGCAGAGATGATCATTTTTTTGAGAATTATTCATAAGTAATAGAAAATAAATTATTTAGGGCCTGCTATTGGGGCAGGCTTGGGTGGTGTTTGGGAAAATTTGAATAACGGTGGTGGGATTGGCGGTGGAATATTGAATGTAATAAATGATTGTGAACAGCCTTATAAAGGTAAAATTAAGTAAAACATAATAAATAAAAAATAAATAAAACAAAACTTCAGCGAGCACCGAGTCACAGGGAAAGCAACACAACCTAATGACCCCTCTAGGAGCACCACAGCTGGATGTGGAGGCAACCAGGGTGATGGCTACAGTATCAACAGAAACGAGAGGGGGAGGGGCAACTTCTTTAAAATAATAAATGAAACTGAGAGCTGGGAGAGGAGTGGAGAGCAGAGAGGGGAGGGCTGAAGGGGTCCTTGGGACATTGGTGGAAGGAAGGGAGCCCTCTGGGTAGGTGTGATTTTGGAACAATATAGAAGTAAAACTATTAATAACATAGTAACACATAGTACTTCACTAAAAATGTGGAAAAAATTGCAAAATAAATAAATGTAAGCATAAAGGCAAGTATTTGTGTAATTCTCCGTCCTTGCAACCACATCAACAATGAACAGCAAAAGCAGGTGAGAAGAAATTATAAAATTGAAAACAGTTGCACAAGAGTTGGAAAGATAGTACAGCAGGCAGAGTGTTTGCCTTGAACACAGCAGACCTGGGTTCCATCCCCAACATCCCATATGGTCCCCTGGGCACCACCAGGAATAACTCCTGAGTGCAGAACCAGGAGTAACGCCTGAGCATTGCCGGGTGTGACCCAAAAAGCCAATAAAAAACTGTTGCTCAGGCCAGAGCCACAGTATAATGAGTGAGTAGGGCATCTGCCTTGCACAACCAACCCAGCCAACCCGGGTCCAATGCCCAACATCCATATGGTCCCTGGATCCCCACCAGGAACGACCCTAAGCACAAAGCCAATTATCCTGAGCACTGTTGGGTATGATCCCAAAACAAAACAAAAACTGCTCAATGAAGAGCACATAAAAGATGAGTTAATATGGGGCCAAAGAGATAGTATAGTGGGTAGGGCTGCTGCCTTGAACACAGCTGAGCTGGATTCAATCTCCAGCAACACATATGTCCCACCCACCCACAAGCCCCAGGAAGAGTGAACCTTGAGCACAGAGCCAGGAACAATCCCTGAGCACCAGTGGGTGTGTCCTCACCACTAGGAAAAAAAAAAGTCAATTTACAGATACTTCAGCTAATTTCCCTTCCCTTTCTCTTTACTATTTTTCCACGGTGCTGCAGCAATAGCATAGCGGGTAGGGCGTTTGCCTTGCACGTGGCCAACCCGGTTCGATTCCTCTGTCCCTCTCGGAGAGCCCAGCAAGCTACCGAGAGTATCCCACTCACACGGCAGAGCTGGCAAGCTCCCCATGGGTATTCGATATGCCAAAAACGGTAACAAGTCTCACAATGGAGACGTTACTGGTGTCCGCTCGAGCAAATTGATGAACAACGGGAGGACAGTGCTACAGTGCTATTTTTCCATTTATACTAAAAAGTTTACCTCTCTGGAATGGTGCTCATTCTGTAAGATCTTACCAGAGGCTTGAGGCAGAAAAGTCTCAACAGAAGGAGGAATTCGCTGTGAATTTGCAGCTTTAGGCTGAACGCTTCTTGCAGCAATTCTTGCCCATGCTGCCAGTATGGCTTCCTGAGCTGAAGTTACCACTTCCACTATATTCATCTCCGTCTCGTTCTCGCTCATCTTCTGGCTTTTACGCAGCCCTGCTTTCTTGGAGTCCGCCTTGCATTTTCTTGAACGTGACTGCAATCTGGCCTCCTGTGGTGTTTTAGGAATAGTCTGCCAATGAGACTCACATGAGTTTTTCAGTAAAACGTGACTGCCACAAGAAATTTTGTGTCCATTTCATCATTTTTTTAAGTGCACTGACTTACATGCTCTTAGTGTGGGAAGAGGATTAAGGGATATTGCCTCCTTCAGAGCCATGGGGGAAATTTGCCTGTGGAATGGTCTTCTCCAGTCATGCTTTGGGGACCGGAGGCCATAACCAATACTTCTAGTCTCAGCACTACAGGACCTGATACTTCAGTGCCAAAGCCTGGCAGAGCCGGGGCCACAAAGCTATACCCAAGGTTCTTAGGAGGCCAGGTGAGACAAGGACTGAATTCCAAGCCTGCGTGAGATGCAAGCACTCCAGCCCTTGGACATATCTACCCTGCCCAAGAAATTTTTTATTCTTCAACTGCACGTGGTAGTAGGAGTTGCTACAGATATCTAGAAAACAGGGGGGCTGGAGCACAAAGGGTAGGGCATTTGCCTTGCACACGGCCAACCCAGGTTCGATTCCCGGCATCCCATATGGTTCCCCAAGCACCTCCAGGAGTAATTCCTGAGTGCAAAGCCAGGAGTAACCCCTGAGCATCCGCGCATCCGCTGGGTGTGACCCAAAAGGCAAAAAAAAAATAATAAGAAAGAAAGAAAAAAAAGAAAACACAACACAGACAGAACAGTCCTTAAAGTTTTGACCCAGAGCTGGAGTGATAGTACAGTAGGTGGGTCCTTCGCCCTGCATGCTGCTGACCTGAATTTGATCTCTGGAATCCCATATAGTCCCCAAGCACGCCCCCCCCCCCCACCCCCCGCCTCCCCAGTGATCCCTAAGCACAGAATCAGGAGTATGCCCTGAGGATCACTGGGTGTACCCTCCACACACTCCACACACACACACACACACACACACACACACACACACACACACACAAAGTTTGGCCTAAGTTATTCATCGCCTTAACTGAGAGACCAATTATGCCTTAGAAGAGCAACAGGAGCTGGTGAAAGAGCTCAAAAGACAGAGCACATGCCTGCATGGAGGAGGCCCAAGTTTGATCCTTTACACTACATGGTATAACCCAAGGAGCAACCTATTGAACTAGGAGCAGCTCCCAAGCTCCACTGGGTGTGGCTGCAAAACAATTAAATGAAAAGACAGAAGATATTTCATTTCAATGTTGGGGGGGGGGGGGTGGGCGCATGTGGGCCACATCTGGTAACATGTGTTTGACTCTCTTTGAGCTCTCTCTGGGCTCTCAAAGGTGCAAATAAAATAGAGGTGGTGGCTGACGACGAAATGAAAACTCATCCTCATACTTACCTGGTTACTTCCACAATAAGCACGCTTTAGGATCCTCTCATACACTTCCATTTTCTAAGAGACAAATGAAGAAGGGAAACAAAAAAGGTAAGATGATAAAGTTTCCCATACCTGCCTCAAGCAGCAGAGGCCTGCCGGGACACTCACCTGGCCATCAGTACTTATACCAAGCTGATGGCACCAGTTCCGCAAAGTGTCCCGATGCACTTGATCAACTGGAGGCAAAATGGTCGGCAGGGGGAGGATGGGGGAAGCTTTCCGTTGTTCATTTGTTTGAAGAAGATGAACCAAGGAAAAAAGAAACCAAAATAGTAAAGTTCAATATATGTAAATTCCTTATCTTCATAAAGGCCTCAATTATTTCCCAAGTCAGTCTCAACATATACATTGAAAATATTTTCCTTGGGTCTAGAGCAATAGCACAGTGGGTAGGGCGTTTGCCTTGCGAGCAGCTGAACTAGGTTCGATTCCCAGCATCACATGTGATTCCCCGAGCACCGTCAGGAGTAATTCCTGACTACATGAACCAGGAGGAAATCCTGTGCATCGCTGGGTGTGACCCAAAAAGCAAAAAAAAAAAAAAAAAAAATTTCCTCATATTACACATAACATAATAGATTCTGAATCAAAAGTCTCCCATTATCACACCATTTAAACGACAGGTCTAAGACACAAACCTACCTTTTGCAACACTAAATTCTGGGGATTATTACATTATATACAATAGTCCTTTCTATCTTGGTAGCCTGCAAAAACCACCCAAAAAGAACATTAAGTTTGGGGTCTGGAGAAATAGTACAGAAGCGAGGGAGCTTGCCTTATATATGGTCACCACAGGTTCAACCTACAGCACCCCTTATGGTATGGTCCCCTGAGCATGGCCAGAAGTAGTTCCCAAGTACAGTCAGGAGAAAGCCCTGAGCATATTCAGGCATGGCCCCAAAACCAAAGCAGTAAATAAATAAAAAATAGTATCTCTAGAATGCCTATACTTTGCACCATAAAACACTAGCTATCCTAAGAAACTAAAGAAATCATCCCAAACAACATTGTATCCATTAACCTCATTTTTATTTCATTTGTCTCACCTCTCGTTTTTTGGCTCTAGCCTGACACTAAAAACTTCATATGCAAGCTTTCTATTTGTCAGAGAAAACAAAATCAGGGGCCACAAAAGTCAGTAAAGGGATTGAGAAATTTGCCTCAGTTCAAATCACGGAGCCTCCCCCAACACCACCCAGGATCACACTTCCTAAGCACAGAGCCATGAACAGCTTCATAGCACTGTTGGGTGTTGCATCCTCCTTTATCCTCTATCCTCAAAAAAAAATAAAAAGAATGGATACTTTTTTTTTTCTTTTTAGGTCACACCCGGTAATGCACAGGGGTTACTCCTGGCTCTGCACTCAGGAATTACCCCTGGCGGGCTGGCGGTGCTCAGGGGACCATATGGGATGCTGGGAATTGAACCCGGGGTGGCCCTGCCCCGTGCAAGGCAAACGCCCTACACCCTACCCGCTGTACTATTGTTCCAGCCCCAAGAATGGATACATTTATACTCATTCAGTATCTTTATATGAAGCACTGAAAATAGATACAAAGGGAGATGGTATGCAAGAGTAAGCCCAATGTGGGGCTTGAGTGATAGCACAGTGGGTAGGGCATTTGCCTTGCATGTGGCCGACCAGGGTTCAATTCCCAGCATCCCATATGGTCCCCAGCCCCGAGCATAGCCAGGAGTAATTCCTGAGTGCATGAACCAGGAGTAACCCCTGTGCATCGCCTGATGTGACCCAAAAAGCAAAAAAAAAAAAAAAAAAAAAAAAAAAGAGTAAGCCCGATGTACCAGCACATTTGTTCTGTTTTGGGGATTGATTCAAAAACAAAAATCAAACACACACTAAAAAAAGGGGTGCTTCACATTCAAAAGAACAAAAGTAACCAGTGTTGGTGTGGATGTGGGGAAAAAGGAAGGCTCTTTCACTGTTGGTGGGAATGCAACTGGTCCAGCCTTTTTGGAAAATAATATGGGCATCCCTTCAAAAACTAGAAATTGAGTTTCCATATGACCCTGCATACCATTTCTGGGAATATATCATGAGGGTGCAAAAAAGAACAGTAGAAATGATGCCTGCACCTATATGTTCATTGCAGCACTGTTCACAATACCCAGAATCAAGAAACAACCCGAGTGCCTGAGAACAGATTATGGTTAAAGAAACTTTGATACATCTACACAGTGGAATACTATGCAGCTGTCAGGAAAGACGAAGTCATGAAATTTGCTTATAAGTGGATGGACATGAAGAGTCTCATGCTAAGTGAAATGAGTCAGAGAGAAACAGACATAGAATGACTGCACTCATTTGTGGAATATAAAGTAACATAATATAAGACTGACACCCAAGGACAGTAGACCCAAGGGCCAGGTATACTGCCGCATAGTTGGAACCCTGTCTCATGAGCTGGGGAAGAAGGCAGCTGGAATAGAGAAGGGCTCACTAAGACAATGATGGTTGGAGAAATCATTCAGGAAGACGTGTGCTGAAAGTAGATAAAGGACAAAACTTGATAACCTCTCTGTATCTGTATTGCAATCCACAATGCCCAAAAGTAGAGAGAGTGTATGGGGGAAATTGTCTGTCATGGAGGCAAGGGGAGGGCTGGAAAAGGGAGGTATACTGGGGACATTGGTGGAGGAGAATGCGCACTGGTGGAGGGATGGGTGTTTGATCATTGTATGACTGGAACTGAAACATGAAAACTTTGTAACTGTATCTCACAGTGATTCAATTTAAAAAAAAAAAAAGTACTTGGGGCCAGAAAGATAGTATAGCACACTATCTGTGTAGGACACTGCCTTGCATTTGGCCAACCTGAATTTGATCCCTGGCACCCTATATGGTCCTCCAAGCTCCATCAGGAGTGATCTGTAAGAGCCAGGAATAAGCCCTGAAGCCGACCATATATGGTCCAAAGACAAAAGAAAACAACAAAAGAACTGCTTGTGAGCCTGAGATGTAGTCGGATGGTAGTTTAATTGTATGCATGAGCAGTCAGCTCAATCCTGACACTATCCACACAAAAATCTCTATTGTACAGGCCTCTAGGTATTGGATCATCAGTGGGTATTAAACCAAACATAAGACCAGATGTCTTTCAAAATTTATCCTCTAAACACTGTACACTATATATATTTTTTAAATATATTTTATATATATAAATATATATAATAATAAAAATATATAAAATATATAAATATATTTATATATAAAATTTATATATATATTTTAAATCTGGGCTGGAGAGATAGCAGAGCGGGTAGGGCATTTGCCTTGCACGCGGCCGACCCGGGTTTGATTCCCAGCATCCAATATGATCCCCTGAGCACCGCCAGGAGTAATTCCTGAGTGCAGAGCCAGGGGTAACCCCTGTGCATCGCCAGGTGTGACCCAAAAAGCAATAAATAAATAAATAAATCTGGGTTGGAGCAATAGCACGGTGGATAGGGTGTTTGCCTTTCACTGGGCTGACCTGGGTTCAATTCCTCTGTCCCTCTTGGAGAGCCTGGCAAGTTACCCGTGACGTATTCGATATGCCAAACATAGTAACAAGTCTCACAATGGAGATGTTACTGGTGCCCACTAGATCAAATCGATGAACAACAGGAGGACAGTTCTACAGTGTTATTTTTTTAAACAAAAATCTATAAAAGCCACACACAGGGCTGGTGAGATAGAGTAATTGGAACGGGCAGGTGCTTTGCATGTAGGAGTCCTGGTTTGCTCCCCAGTCAATGCAGCATAATCTCCTGAGCACCCCCAGGTGAGAGAACTGGGAGAAACCCCAAGCACTGCCAGATGTGGGCCCCAAAAAGAAAGAAAGAAAGAAAGGAAGGAAGGAAGGAAGGAAGGAAGGAAGGAAGAAAGAAAGAAAGAAAGAAAGAAAGAAAGAAAGAAAGAAAGAAAAGGGCATAAAAAGCCAAATTTGGAAACATGGATGTGATGATTTGTCGTAACTGGGGTGTTGAGAGGAAATGACAAGAGATTGGTCAATGGTTACATGTCCAGGATGTGAGGGTGATCTGGCCAGGACATCTGTCACCCCATTGATTGCCAGGGTTGATTTGACTGATCTGGCTGGCTAGGCAGGTGTCTCCTTCCTCCCCCCCACTCCATGTGGAAGATGCATGCTCGGTCAAAGAGGACAGCCTTCCCCAGGACACGGTGAGTGTGGTCCTCTGGGTATGACTCTTCTGAGTATGGCTCAAAGAACCCCCAAAGTAAATACAAATATGACATTCAGTTATTAGATAAGTAAGCTCTAGGGACCTGATGATAGTGATTATTGTTACAATTAGTAAAATATTAATATTTTATTAATACTAGCACTGCCAAAAGTGATACTGAGCACAAACCCAGGAGGAAGTCCTGAGCATAATCGGGTGTGACCCAAAAACAAAAAGGAGGCCAGAGTGTCAAGGAGTGATAGTAGAATGGATAGGTAAGCCGTGCAAACGCTTACCCAGGTTGGATCCCTGGCATCGCAAGCACCTGGTTCCCACAAGCACCACCAGGATTGGTTCCTAAGTGCAGCGTCAGAAGGTACTCCTGAGCACCACCAGCGCGGCCCAAAAACCAAAAAGCAAGCAAGCAGACAAAAACAACTTCGAGGGGAAAGTGGAGAAACAGCTCAAGGTGCTGGGCACACGTTTTGCCTGTAAGAGGCTCAGGTTCAAATCCCTGCACAACATAATCCCCTGCATACCTGGCCCTCAACCCCAAATATGGTAATGAGGAGGGCAAATCTTAAATGTTCTCTTGGGGGCACACCATACATCTTTAAAAGACAATGTTAGATGTCTGTTAGATGTCAACAAATCTGGGGGAAATTATCTGGTCTTCACAAGAGTCATGAAAAATATGTGTTAGGCTCCTTGGCCTCAGTTTTGTAGAACTTAATTTTACGGGTTGGACATTTGAACTCCCATCTTAGTGTCCTATAAAATCACGCTCTGTCCAAAGCAACCCACATGCTTATTTTGTCATGAAGGCAAGGTGCTTAGCAAGTAAAATGTACTAATACTTTGGAAAATTTCTTAGCACAGGTAATTAAGGCAAAATTTAAGCTGAGGGCAGTGCATTCAGAGGACCAGGAAGAAAAATCTAACATTCCAGTGCTTCTCAGAGTTGAAGAAGCAGTCACCTGAACAAATCCTGTTCTCATACCTTTCCTGGGTTTTCTAGGATTTTCTTCTGCAGTTGAAGAAACACTTTGTTCTTCATTAGGAAACACCTGATCTTCTTCATTAGGTTTGTCATCAACTGGAACCAATGTGAGAATTACATCCTCCTCGTATAAATCTTCCTCAAAAAAGTTCTGAAAAAGGGAGAAGGGTTAGTCACTGATTCTCATTTGATGTTATATAACCAGACTGCCCATTTTCGAAGAGCAACTATTAAAACAGAACCTGAGAGGATAACAGATGGGTGGAGAGAAGGTTCACTGAGATTCTCTGAATCTGAAGTCCATGCAAACAAATAATAATTGCTCTTTACATGAGACAATGAGGAAACAAAGAGAAAGAAAATACAAGGACAAGGGTTGGGATGGGATGGGGGAAGATACTGGAGAGTTTGGTGGTGGAAAATGTGCACTGGTGAAAAAATGGGTGTTTGATCATTGTATGACCAAAATTCAAACATGAAAGCTTTGTAACTGTCCCTCAGGGTGATTTAATAAAAATAAATAAATAAATAAGTGAACAAGAAATACTTGTTGTCAAACAAACAAACAAAAAATACAAGGATAAGGTGAGAAATCAAGCCTCATCATCTTCCCCATCCACACTTTTAAATACTAAATACTTTTATTTTATGTTCTATCTGTATGGAATGTACTCCTACCTTCCCATTTTTTATCACCCAATTTTCAATTACAGCTATCATCCACTCTCACTGACAGAAGCAATAATCTCTTGTTATCTCAAAATCCATTATGACTCCTTTGTACTCAGATAATTCTTTGGTTTAAAAGTCAATAGCCCAAAGGCGGGAATGCAGCTAACAAGTAGAGTGCATGCTTTGCATATTGGAGGTCTTTGGGGAGATCTTCAGCAGAAAAAAAAAAAAAAGAGGGGGAGGGGGAAGAAAATCAAAGAAATAAAACCTCAATAGTTTATTACTATTAAACGTTAATAGTGTCTACAAATTCCTGAACAGCCCACCCCTTCCTCTACAACCACACTGGTCTGATTTCAATCCCGAGACCAGAGGGCAACAAATGTATTTATTTTAAAGCACAAAATATTGCTTTTGTGCTTTATTTCACTTTATTTCATGCATTTTTATTTTATGTAAATTATTTAACGTGATTATACACAGATTGCCCAACTTGTGCAACGATGAATGTAAATAACAATCATGTCACTTGTAACAATGTATTCATTTTCCTACTTTACAACTCAGAAAACCAAGCCGGGGAATTAAATGGAGGCTTGTCGCAGAGAAACACGAATTGGAGTAAATTTCTAAATTTCGCTTATCCTCTCAACCCTGGAGGTTGAATACACACACCACCGCCCCCCGGCCTATTGTGATGTCTCCTTCCAACGCAGGATTTGAAGCAGCCAAACCCTTCCCCCTACTGCAAACTTCAACGACTCCCTATTGCTCTCAAACTCCTACCTTGTTTAGAAGGATTTTTGCATTTGTATACCACTTTTTCTAAATGCTCCGAAAGACTTTCACCATCCATTTAAGGAAAAAAAAAAAAGATTATCTTTGGGGGAAATTTTAATTCTATTTGCGATAACAAGGGCTCAAAGCAATTGTACAACTTGCCCTTTAATATACTTAATACTGGCTAATTCTATCTCCTGGTCTGGAGCAGTGGTTGCTGTTAATACCTAGGAAAATGCCTCAATTTAATTTCATCTTCAGTCCAGGGCTAGGAAGGCTACTTTTACAACCACAGCCCAAAGGGTGTAAGTTACTTCTTCCTGACTGATGAAAGAAAAGCACTGATCACTTCAGTTTCTGAACTTATGCATGTGACTCCCACATCACTCCACATTTCTTAATTGTATCCATGTTGATCAGCTACAGCAGAAGCAGATTTTCTTTTTCTCCCTGCCAAAAACAAAACAACCCCCCCAGAAAAAACCCTCACTTTGGACTAGGAAGGGAATATCTCTTTTCCAATTCTAATCTCCCCCGATATAGACAAAGCCAGTCACCTGATGGAAAAGTAATCACCAATAACAAAGAGGCAATTCCAAAGCAGAGATCCCCACCTCGACGAAACTGAGATCAGTGGCAAAAGGAAAAAAAAAAAAAAGTCTCTAGGAAGACTCTGAAAAATGAAGCTGTGAGAAAAAAATGATGCGTTGCAAATTCAACTTACCTTCTCGCTTCTTTCCGGATTTGAACCTGCCATTTCCAGGAACAGTCAAGAGGCTAAGCCCAGCCCAAGACCTGAAGGAATCTGCAGTTGACTCTTTTTATCCTGAGCCTCCCTAGCTAGATTTCTCCTTTTATAAGCAAATGTCTCCTTCTACTTCCTGTTTCCCTGTAGAAACTTGTCCTCCTCCTCCCCCTTTCCCCCACCCTCTATATCAGACGTTTTGATTATTTTATCAAGTTTCCGAGTCCGTTTGGCCTATTAGGTGAGAGTTAAGGGACTGGGGCGGTTGGGGCTACACCCGGTGGTGCTTTGGGGTTACTCTTGGGCTCTGTGCTCCGTGGCTGCTCCCACAGGGGCTTGGGGTGGGGAGGGGGGATCATGTGATGCCGGGATCGAAATGGGGTTGGCTGTTTACAAGGCATGCGCCTAACTCCTATACAATGTTGCAGCTCCAGTTTTTTCTTTTTTCTTTCTCTCGCGCTCTTTTTTTTTTTTTTTTTTGCTTTTGGGCCACAATCTACCCACGTGCTCAAGGATCACTGCTGGTGGGGGGGGGGGGTGAGGAGGGGGTTGGTGGGATACCATGATAAAACCCAGGGTCTGCGCTTGCAAGAGCACAGCCCTAATTTCTATACTATCTCTCTGCCCACCCCTCTCTCTCTCTCTCTTTTTTTTTTTTTGCTTTTGTTTTGTTCGGGGGTGGAGGGAGTCACACCTGGCTGTGCTCGAGGCTTTTTCCTAGCTCTGCTCAGGAATCTGTTGGCAGGTCTTAGGGGACAATATGCAGTGCCAGGGATCTTACCCGGGTCAACTGCTTGCAAGTCAGTTGCTTTGCCCACTGCTCTCTCTGGATGGAGCTTATTTCTTGAATCATGTCTCTTTTTTTTTCTTTGCTTCTTTTGCTTTTTAGGTCACACCCAGCTATTCTCAAGGGTTTCTTCTGACTCTGCACTCAGGAGTTACTCCTGGCCGGTGCTTGGGGGACCATATGGGATGCTGGGAATCGAACCAGGGTCAGCCACGTGCAAGGCAAACGCCCTACCCGCTGTACTATTGCTCCGGTCCCTTGAATTATATCTTAATATTTTTTTCTGAGTTGATGGTTCTACATAATTATTGGAGGTGATTAGTGTCAAGCAAAATATTAATTTTTATCCGTTGCTTTGGGGTTTTTTTGGTTCTGTTTTGATTTCGTTTGTCTGTCTGTCTGGAAGCTGTGCCCCGCAGTGTTCTGGGCTTACTCCTGACTGTGCTCAGGGATCTCTCCAGGTTTGTTTTTCCGATGCTGTGTGATCCTGAGGATCAAACCCAGATGGCTCACAGGCAAGGCAAACACCCTGCTCACTATTCTATCTCTCCTGCCTCTGCTCTGGGTTTTCTTGACCAGTTCTTCATTTTCTGTACAAAATATTGCTTGCAGCATTTGAAGCAATGAGACAGTTTTAATCACCCAAATCAAGGGTGTGAACATTCCTTATCAGCTGCCTCCTTACATGTGAGTGTGCTTCTAGTGTTTTATTTCTAAGAAGTTTACAAGGAAATCTTGTTAAATGTTTGTTGCAATGACCTTTGTACATTTTTAGTTTTACAGGCTCACTAGAAAAGCCTCAAAGAGCCCAGCGACAGGATCCTGCACTCTGTATGGGGCTTTGGGCCCTTCCTCTAGATTCAGAAGCCAGAGGAGTCTAATTCTCCTCCCACCCTCTGACTAAAAATGTTGTCTTTATTCCTTCTAAGATGAAACATGGAAGAAAATTCAAAGCGACAAGTTACAATTGAACCAACAGCGTACTTTTATTTCTGGGCTAATATTGGATGGAGAAAATGACTTTAATTTGGGAGAAATAAAAGAGACGGGTGGGGGGGCGCTGAAGAGGGAAGAAAAGGCAGATGGGAAGCAACAGGGGGTAGGGGCAAGGGGCAAGGGGTGGTGTAAAGGAGTGGTATGGCTAGATATTCCAACCCAGAGTCAACCACTCTGAGAGCAAGAGATCCAAGCTTCAACAGCCAGACATAAAAAGATGTCTGTTTGGGAGTGGGGTAGGGGAGGGAACCTGGTGGAGGGAACGTGACATTGGTAGTAGGACTGGTGCTGGAACACTATATATCTAAAATTCAACTACAAATAACGCTAAATCACGGTGCTTTAATTTATTTTTCTTTTTGGGTCACACCTGGCAATGCACAGGAGTTACTCTTGGCTCTGCCCTTAGGAATTACTCCTGGCAGTGCTCGGAGGAGCATATGGGATGCTGGGAATCGAACCCGGGTCAGCCACGTGCAAGGCAAACGCCCTACCCTCTGTGCTATTGCTCCAGCCCCTTTAATTTTAATTTTAAAAGAGACTCAGGAATTTCATAACTGACTCATGCTAGGGACGTCACACTCGCTGGGAGTTTAGATTTCAAAGTAGGAGTGAGATCATTCTTTATGTCTAAGCACAGATATAAAGCCTCCAATACAAGAAAGACTGGAAGGGGAGGGTTTGATGACTCAGAAGAGGAGCAGCGAGAGAGCCAAACACATTTATGCGAGTGATGGATTAATGGATGCTGAAGGAAATGCAAGCACACGGCAAATGTTGGAGACAGGAGGTGAAGAAAGATGAAGCTGGAGTCGAGTTTTCATAAATCACTCAGAGGAACCAGACTAAAGGAGAATGTCATTTACAAACAATAGCAGCAGCCTAGGTATCTGGCGTACTGGAAGCCCTCTCTCAGGAAGGAAAATGATTTGTTTCATCAGCCTCGAGACCCATGGAGCCTGGGTCAGTTTATTTTACTAGTCCAGGATCTTGACAATGTGATGTGTGAAAGCCCACTTTCAACTATGGAAGAACTGCTTGGAAAAATAGTTAAGTCTCTACTCCCGAATTCCAAAAGCTGGTCCTTCAGGGTTGGACCCATATATCTGTACTTCTAACAAGCCCTCCGGGTAATTCTTAAGCTGCTGAATTGAAGCCTAGAATAGTAGACAAGATAAGCATTTGACCTAATGGCTTTGAATTAGGCAGATAAAGGTCCTGGGTTCACCTCATCCTGAAAGGAAATTGAATGTTGATCTTTAGGTCAAGCCAAGAAAGCACTCCTGCTACGTGGGTGTGGCCCCAACTGTTGTGCTTTTTTCAGCTTGGTTCAGAGAGCCTTTCCCTGGTGGCCTGATTTGGTTTTAGTGCCTTTGGCTGAAACCATAGTTCAAGTGGGAAAATCATTTTATTACCATATTTTCTTTGCACCTTTGTATTTATTACAATAAAACTATTTTCCCTTTGCTTCTGCAAGTGTTATATTATGGGGATATTCAAACATGCACAAAAGCAACTATTTTGTCTCAAACCATCTCAGATCCATCATTGATCTAAGAACTATTGATTTCCGGCCAGAGTCTACAGCAGGTAGGGCGTTTGCTTTGCCTGTGGCAAACTTGGATCCAATCTCATTCGGTCCCTTGAGCACCGCCAGGAGTCATTCCTGAGTACAGAGCCAGGAGTAACCCCTGAGCATCACCTGGTATGCCCCCCCCCCCAAAAAACCCACAAAACTTATCACTCCAGTCACTAATTTCATCTGAGACACCACTTCTCCCTCTGCCTTTGGGATATTTTCAAGGGAATGCCAGACCTCATATTTCATTCATAAATTCAGAGAGAGGAAAAGGACTTTTTTCTAACTCTTATTCCTGTATCATTTTCATATCTAAAAATAATTTTAAGTTGTATTATCAAACTTTCCAGGCTGTTCAAATGTCCCACAGTCTTCAAATATTCAATTTCTCATTTCTTTTTTTTTCTTTTTTTACCTGTATTTTTTGGCTTTGTTTTTTTGTTTTCTCTGGCTTGTTGACTTTTTTTTTTTTAACAAAGGTCGGAGTGGGTATTTGGGCCATATCCTTGCAGGCAGTGCAGAGTTTATGTTTAGTGGTGTTCTGGAGACCGTATGTAGTTCTGGGAACCAAACCCTAATTGGCTGCATGTGAGACAACTGCCCTACACCCTATACTATTACTCTGGGCACCCCCTTGCATTCATTTTTTAGTCCTCCCACTCTCCTTTTATTCACTCTCCCTTAGTTGAAGCACAGATGTTGCAGTTGTAGCTATCAGGATTTGCTATTCTGCATTCACATACATCACCACCAGGAGTTGCACTTCTTAACCATGTATTTTTTTTTTCTTCTTTTTCATTATTTATTTATTTATTTCTGATTTGGTTGGTTTGGGGACTACACTTGACCATGCTCAGAGCTTACTCCCAGTTCTGGGCTCAGGAATCACTTCTATCAGAGTTCAGGGGAACATATAAGATTCTGGGAATCAAAGTCAGCTGCATGCAAAGCAAGTACCTTACACGCCATACAATCTCTCTCTCTCTTTTTTTTTTTTTTTGCATTTCACTCCTGAGCCTGCCGGGTATTGAACCCGGGTTGGCCATGTGCAAGGCAAATGCTCTACCCACTTCAGCACTACCATACTATCTCTTGAACCCCTTCCTGGCCCTCTCCTTTACTTTCAGTGTTCAGTTGGAACCACACCACTCTGTGATGCTATTTACACTTATCAGTGTGCAACCACTGTTGGAAATTGCTAACAGCCCAAGGAATACAGACAAAAAAACTGCCAGGTCAAAGGGCAGAGCTGGAGGGATCCCTTGGCTTATGTGGCAACACTAGAATTTAAAGTTGTGACCACATGCTTGTGGTCTAAGCCACTCTAAGCTACTAATTCTGCTGGGACTCAGGCCAAAATTTTGTTTGTTTGTTTTTCGCTTTTTCGGGTCACACCCAGCAGATGCTCAGGGCTTACTTCTGGCTCATGCTCAGGAATTACTCTTGGTGGTGCTCTGAGGACCATATGGGATGCTGGGAATCCAACCCAGTCAGCCGTGTGCGAGGCAAACCTCCAGCCCCTGTTTGTTTTTTTTATAGGGGTTAATCCCAGTAAAGCTCAAGTCCAACAGAATGTTACTCAGAGACTAATAAAACCATGCATGACAGTGCTTGGAGGAACTATGCAGTACTAGGGGAGAACTTGGTTTC